GAATATATTACTTCATGGCAGAAATGATGGGAAGGAAATAGCATTAGATAAAATCCCCATAATAGTGAAGTATGTGGAGTCCAAAACCAAATCCACTAGTATTCACAAAATAAAGCCATCTAAACTGAAAGAGTGAAAAGTAATTTTTAAAGAAGCAAGCAAAAGAAAAAAAAAAAGATACTCCAGTCTAAATTTCCAGAAAGTTCTGAAAGTTTTTCTTTTGGAATGCTTGCACTAATTAATTTTCACTACCAGCTAGCTTAGCTGTTTATTTTTTGGAAGCTTATGTTCTACCTCTTTGTTATTTTCTGTAGGTAAAATTTTTCTCATTTTAATGTTAAGAGAGGAAAGAGAGGAGAGAGAATTTATAGTATGTTGCAGTGCCTGCTCTAATCATTCTGAAACTTAGCAAGCTCTTGCTTTGAGGCAGCCTCTCCAAGTGGAGGAAGGAGAAGCTGCATGTTAGGATATTATTTTTTTCTGCCCCCAACACAGCTGCATAACTGGGACTGACACTAATTAGTAGATCAAATTTTAGGTTACAGATGCTAAAACCAAAGCAAACATTTTGTAGAGCTCTCTGCAAAGAGTCTTATGTTTTCTATAAATACTTTTTGCTTTCAGAAGCTAAATTGTAAATTTGGTCTCGCATTTGCTGACAGCTTTGCTCCTTATTTTCTCATTTTGGTTCATCTAACCTTTCAATAGGTACAAAACCAATTTCAGGAATTTAAATTATGAGCACAAACAGTGAAATTGCTTAGAGACTAGGAAGGCTGTTGCCTGTATTTTTTCATCCAAAGCAGAGAGTGAGCTTATTGATTAAAAACTATCATTTTATTAAGATGTTATTTGAAGGGAAAACATAACCTTAATAAGGGAAAATATGAAATTAAACTAGTATTGCCAATAGAAATTCAGAAAACATAAAACATGTCTACAGAGACATATTAATGATGGGCCAAGTTTTGTGGATTTTTTGTTTCAATACATATTGCTTGTTCCTGTGATTAACTCTGTTTCAATTCCAGGGTTACACCATTCCGTTAGACAAGCGCCTGGCTGCAGACGGCAGAGGACTGCAGACAGTTCACATCAACGAGAACTTTGCCAAGCTGGCTGAAGCTCTCTATATTGCTGACAGAAAGGTCAGTTGGTGGTTTGTGCCTCCTTCTTTGTATGTTCATTTCCTTGGGAAAATCAACTGTGAATAGGCTGTAGTTCTTAGTTTGTCATGTTGTTGTGCTGACGCAACGTCTTATGCCCAAGATTTTTGAATCAGTGATTCAGCCCAGGTTAATCTGTTGGAGTTGATGGCTTCTGTTTTGGCTGCAGGCTCGGGAGGCTGTGGAGATGCGTGCCCAGGTGGAAAGGAAGATGGCTCAGAAGGAAAAGGAGAAACACGAAGAGAAGCTCAGAGAAATGGCCCAGAAAGCCAGGGAGAGGAGAGCAGGGATCAAAACCCATGTAGAAAAAGGTACATTTTTTTCTATATATACTTCTCTAAAATATAGATTGGGGGAATTTATACTGAGAACTTAAAAAAGCTAAATATCAAATGTTGTTTTTAAATATGATGTGAGATTTGATGGTATTTTCTGGTTTTACTTCCTAGATGAACAAATACTCTTTAAGTTCTTGAAAGCCAAGAAGCATACTTTTGGAAACATCTACTTCAGCTGTCTTGTCAAAGACAATTAATTGTTTGTAGTGTTAGAAGGACATGGTTTTCTTCATGATTTATGTTCTCTTCAGTTTGCATAAAATGTAATAATTTAAATAGTGGTAAGGATCATTTCTGTAAATGAATGCTGAATTGAATCACTCTGTGAGTGGCTGTGGCATACTCCATTCAGATTTCAAATATTTATGTGTAATTAGCCATCTTATATTTGTACAGAGGATGGAGAAGCTAGAGAGAGAGATGAAATCAGACATGACCGGCGCAAAGAGAGGCAGCATGAAAGGAATCTGTCCAGGGCAGCCCCTGAAAAAAGGTGAGTCACAAGAGGGAACTGTTTTATTCCGGTACTCTCCCTGGCTTCCCCATTAAGTAGAATTGCATGGAGTTTTTTTTCCTTTTGCTTGATGCAAGTGCCTGAATTACATGTTGTGCAGATACTCACTTGTATGATGTAACTTTATGGAGGTTTTGTGCAAAAAATATTGTGGGGTTGTGATTATGAGACTTCAAGAGTAAATAAAAGGTATTTGACTCTTCAGTTGCTAAGAGAGGGCATGAAGCTGGCATATTAGGGTTTAACTGTGTAATCTCCATCTCTTTCTCTCTTTTTCTTTATGTATATATATGTTTTTTGAAGATTTTTGCTTTGAGTATCTTCAGCCAAAAAGAAATGTAGGGTTCTCCAGATGTAAGGAGGAGTGTGCTTTCTTTCTCTTCTTTATTTATTTTTAATCAGATCTGCAATATATTCTGATTTAGTTAACATGCTGACTGTGAAGGTTGAAACGTGGGTCCTGTGCCTTCAGAGAGACTGGGATATCATTAGTGGCTGTTTATTCAACGTATTCATTTAAATTGAGCATAGATCTACAAGTGTGTATGCAAGCCTTTAAGGGCTGGCTGAAGTGTAAAGTGAATCTTGTTTGGTTAAATCAGTGAGATTTCTGAGCACAAATGGTTTCTGGAGGCTTAAAATGTCTAATATCTTAAAATTAGATTGCTGAGCCTCCCTAGAATGTAATTATATTGGTTCTTACCAAAAATAAATATGACATTTTAGGCCAAGTCAGCTTGATGTAAACTGCAGATAGTGGAAAGCAAATTTAAATGTCATGCCCAGCTGAACATAACTTTCCCAAATGTTTTCCTTGCCAGGAGACAGATTTTAAACGTTACATAGTAAGGAAGGGCAAAAGTCAAACTCTAGCTCCCAAGGGAGATTGTTAGTAACTAATACAGCATGAGGTTGCACTTGAGCATGTAACCCAATGTGGTTTGTCTGAGTTAATAAAATTTAATTTTTAATCAGGTCAAAGTTGCAGAGAAATGAGAACAGAGATATCAGTGAAGTTATTGCCCTCGGGATACCCAACCCCAGGCCATCCAATGAAGTCCAATATGACCAGAGGCTCTTCAACCAGAGCAAGGTAAAGATATCTTTTCACAGCTGTGTGGCTTTCTAGGAGGCCGTGCCAACAGCTCGTGTGTGCTTTGGGTTTGTGGCTGGAGGACTGGAAGGGCTCCGTTCTCATGGGTGGTGTGGATGAGCTCTGGAAGGAGATTCAGCGTAAGTGCTGCTCCTCTCCTTCATGGCCTAGCTATTTTGCAGAGAAAGCATCATTTGTAAATGTAACAACATTAAAGATTTGGGATGGGGAGGTGGGCGGGGAGGAAAAAAGCTGTTTTGCCTTCTCTTTGGAGTGACTCCATCTTCTGCATAAACATTCTGAATAAGTGAAATCTGCTGTGAGAGTGAAGCAAGTAAATACTTGTCATTACATTAACTGTTTGTATCATTTAAGATGGCTTTTTAACAGTAACATTTATTTTTGTTTATTTCATATTATTCAGAGTTAGAAAGAATAGTTTAGACTTTAAAACATCCCTGAAAACTCCTGCAGTTTATTAATATTCCTAGTGCATCCAATGATGGACTTGGAGGTGGAGAGGAGAGCTGATATCTCCAAGAGAAAAGCAGGCCTCCCTCCTGCTTCCACAGGTTGCACAAGCCTCGGTGGGATTGGGATCAGTTGTCCTAAACCATGTTTTCTCAAAATTCTAACAAATAGGTATTTTCCTGCCATTTTCACTTGCTGTTGTACACAGCTGTACTTGCAAGGCAGGCTCAAGTAGAGGTTACTGTGCAAGGCCTATGGCCTGTAATCCTCCCTGGTGCTGTATGGAAGTGTCCCAGGCTGAGGCTTCGAATGATTGGATTGAGCCCACCCCCCAAGCTATGCAGATATCCTAATTAAGTGCTTGGTTGAATCTGGATCACACTGCAAGTGTTATCTTTAGGTAAATTAACTGAAGTTTTGCAGACTGATTTGTATTATACTGCTGTTCATTTTTTCTCCTTCACAGGGTATGGACAGTGGCTTTGCTGGAGGAGAGGATGAAATTTATAATGTTTATGACCAGCCTTGGAGAAGCGGCAAGGATCTGGCCCAGAACATCTACAGACCAAGCAAAAATGTGGATAAGGACATGTATGGTGATGATTTAGAGACACGAATCAAGACCAACAGGTAAGAAAATTTTTAAAGAATACTCTCCCCTAGCACCCTGCGTGCCAAGCAGCTGACTATTGTGTCTTCTCCTTCAGATTTGTTCCCGAAAAAGAGTTTTCTAACTCGGACCGTAACGCCAGAGGGAGGGGGAGAGATGGACCAGTTCAGTTTGAGGAGGATCCCTTCGGTCTGGACAAGTTTCTGGAAGAAGCTAAACAACACGGTGGTTCCAAACGGCCCTCGGATAGCAGCCGCCCTAAGGAACACGAGCACGAGGGCAAAAAGAGGAGGAAGGAGTAAGTGCCTCCTCTCCTTGAGGAGCAAGGAAACGGACTGCGCCCTTGGACTTCATGCAAAAGGCATTTTTACTATTACAGTTTTGTGTAGGGAGTGGGCAGCGTAAAATTCACAACTCTGCTGTGTGGAGACAAACATACACCCTAGATCCATGTGTGACACCTACCCATGGAAGGTGGAGGAAGGGAGAGCACTGAAGCTTTTCACAGGGGAACTGTTTGTTTGCAAGTGCTCTCACTTTGCTACTTCCCTGTAGTCCAGCATCCCAGGGTAAGAATGGAAGTCCTTCCTACAGCTTTAGGCAGTGTAGATAGCTACAGCTTTTCCTGCATCTGTTAAACTCCCCTGCTGTACATAATGACCCTGTCTTATGTAATAGGGATGCTAGCGAGAGCTTATGATTTTGGTATTTCTTCCATCTGACCATAGTTTATCTGAACCAGGAGGGGAAACAGCTGGATTTAAATCAAATACTCATTCGTAGTTTCTCAGTGATCTTTATTTTAGTTTCTTCACATGTAGTGAAATAAAGCTGCCTTCCACTGCTCGTTCACTTCGACTCTTGCTTTGTCTGAACACGTCTTCTACCTTGCTGCTGTCTGAGGTAGAGCTGAAAGAGAGGGGAGTTCATCACATTAGTTAGGCAGGAAGATTCCATAAAACAGTGTTAGAGGAGGTAGGTAGATCTACAGCCTCTTCACTTTCATAAGCTATACCCATAAATGCCAAGATCCTGACAGGAACAGTGGGTGAGATCTGCAGAGCAAGGGCTGGTTCTTAACAGCAAGTTCCACAGCAAGATGGATCTTGACAGCTTCTTGGAATTTCAAGTGGAAGTAGGAGAAGGTAACTATAGAAGGCAAGCCTAGAATAAAAGGGGAGGAGTACTAATGCATTTTGCTTCTCCTTGCCTGAAAAGAGAGATTTGCTCTAGGAGGGCTAACTGCTGCCTGCCTTGTGTCTTTTATTTCACTGTATGGAAGCCTTGTAGTTCTTCCCTCTCTGCCAAAGAACCCTGTCCACACGACACACTGCTTGATAGGTGTAGGAGATCAAAGTTTTTGCAATGCCATATGCCATCTTTTCATATGTATACTAATGCACTGAGACTTTTCACACAGCATCCTATTTTTCTTTACCGGTACTCACAGTATTACAGACTTCTAAGTACAAAAGCTATACTAAGAATAACTTGTAAAACTAGCCCGAGCCCCTGGAGCAGACAGTTGCCTTCTGCTTGAGCTTTTAAGTGATAGCTCTGTCATCAGCTCCCTTTTCACTACAAGCCAAAAGCTGAGTTGAAATTTCATGTCTTCCTTTTTTTGACTTCCACTACGTAGAGCATGTTGGAATCTGCCTGCAGAACGTGTCTGAGAAACAGCACCAAGCTGCACAGAAGTTCCTGACGTGTTTTGCCACATTCATGCTTTCAGCTTGTAAGGGTACAGGGTCTGGCACAGCTCTGGCACAGAGCCTAGGGCGTCAAAGTGGGAGTGGGGCCTACAACTGGGTTACTTATTTTAAAAGACTATTCAAAGCACCCTAAGTGGCAGAGTGACTAACCTCACCTGAAACTAGTAGGACAGTTAGTATTTCCAGGGGAAGGCAGAATTAATGCGTCTGTTACCTTGGCACCCTCAAGTATGTGGGAGTCCTTCTGGAACACATTCTGTACATCTTCTGGAGATGAGAATTTAATCCAGCCGTAGCGTTTGTGAAAGCCTGTGTCTCTGTCCTAATTACCAATAAAAAAATAGTTTAGTTCCTGTACAATAGATTCACACAGGCTGTTATAACTTTATACAGCTATTCAAGGCAAGGATTTAGAAGTTAACAGGATTTTTTTCCCCCGGGAGTCTATTCAATTATTTTCAAGATTATTATTGATGGCAGGAGGTGGCCTGGCCGAGGCTGTTTTGCACCCATGTCTCTCAATCCGAGTTTAACAATCACAGAAAGTCAATACCTTCAGGTACATTTGAAGTCTGGAGAAACACGTGGCTGGCTGTCTCAAACTGCAGGCGTTACCTACTATTAAGCCAGTCACAACAGAACGGATGTTTAAATAGCTGCCTGATTTGAAAATAGGCCTGCCCAAGTGTTTGAAAAGGATTCCGTGAATAAATCAGCTGTTTAAAATACTAAGACCGTAGGCTGCAATTCTAGGTGACAAGCAGAAACTGTAGTGGGGGGAAAAAAAAAATCTTAGAAATAATTTGCCAGACAAAGAGGCAGCTGGGAGAAGGATCAAGAACCAGGTCCTTAGAGCAGCTGTGGTCCCACGCGGGCCCGTGAGGCCACGGGAGCCCTCGCTGCCCTCCGGGCACCGTGAGGAGCCTTTCCACAGGCTCTGAAGCCCGGCGGTGCCCTGGGGACAGCGCAGTCACCGCTCACGGGCCGCAGTCACAGATTTGCAACAGAAACAGTTCTGCCAGCTTTAATGCCCCCAAGGGAGTTGTGAAATCGTTAGAACACCAAACCGCAGGTCTCTGTGGCAGTCGCACGGCCGCGCAGGCAGGCTGGCGGCAGCGGGAGGGCTGCCTTTCGGGCACACGAGACTCGCGGCCGCAGACAAGAACCTACTCGGTGCCTCCTGCCCCTCTCGGCGCGTCCCAAAGCGCGGGAGGTTTCTGCGCGAGGCTGGTCACCCGCGTGGGATGTGAATCCATAAATACACGGCACTATAGGGCAAGCAGCTCTCTACCAGGCCAGCGAGGTGGGACCTAAATGGTTTTATCTTTTGCCACCAGGAAGGTCACACCAAAACGGGAATCTCCAAACACCTCGAGGTCAGTGATTCGGAAGCGGCAGTGCCAAGCGAATCCGAGAGCGCGGGCTGTGTATCTCCCCCCACCCCTGCAGGGTTTCAGGCACAGCCCCGCGGGGCCGGTACTCACGAAGGGCAGCTGGCAGCGCTGCACGGCGCCGAACTGGGCGAAGTAGTCGCGCAGCTCCCCTGCGGGCACAGACACGCGCTCCCGTCACGCGGGCCGCGCCGGGCCCGGGCGCCGGGAGCTCGCGGGGAGGGACAGGGGAGGACGGGAAAGGGAAAGGGAGGCCGCGG